AACATTTGAGCTCAAAAATAACATTAAAATAAGTGTTTTATCTCCAAAGGTGAATTACTATTCCTATTCCTGCATGAATAGTCAATTACAACCTCTGTACTAGTGACTTTTATGTTACTGTAATAAAATATCTTTGCCAAGACAATTTAAAAAAGGGTTTATTTGGAATTATTGTTCCAGAGCAGAATGCTGAAAGCTCACACCTTGAACCATAAGCACAATCACAAGCAAAGAGAATAAATTGAACTGGTCATTTAATTTCAAAGCTAACTCGCAACGACACATTTTCTCTAGCAAAGTTGCACCTCACAACCCCCCCCCTTGCAAGTACCTTCTCCAACAGGGGATCAAGTATTCTAATGTCCCAGGCTATGGTGAGTATTTCATTCAAACCATCACAGTACTAATATTCATCCATATATACTTTTCATTTTGTGTATCAAGAACAACTTATTACGCCATTGATTAAAATATTCCTTTTTTCCATTTATTTATTTAGGATAGAGGGTCATGTATGTCATGGTCATAAGCACACATCTCACAAAGCAGGTTCAGAAATAAAATCAGATGTCAAATATGATAGTGATCATAAAGAATAAAGAAAATTATAAATGTCAAATATTTTCTTTTTAAAAACAAGATTTCAGTTCATCATTTTATTTGTATGGAGAGTATTGTCCTACTGTATAAAAAATCATGATTTCATTTCATCATGTATTCATATATGAAAATAGATTGCATAGATTAAGGGTGAAGAATTTTTGCCAATTACAACTTAATTGAGCTAGGGAAATAGAAGTTAAACTTAAAAAAGAAGTGTTGGAGAAATCCATATGAAATAAAACAGCTTAAAACTATAGTGATTTGCTAAATCATACAACTGAAAATGATAGTGGCATATTTAACACAATTTCCATTTATTTCCAAATCCCAGACTGTGACCACTGTAATTTTTATTGATTCTCAAATGAGGGAAAATTATTAATTTTATTTATAAAGCCAAATATGCACCTACTATGTAGCCCAATTGTAATATTCCTAGATATTTATCCCACACAAATGAAAACTTATCTTTATGCAAAAATTTGAAACAATTGTTATGGCAATTTTATTTTCATTAACTACCTCAAATTTGGAAACAATGAAAAAACCCTTTGATGAGTAAATAATTGAATTATAATAAAATGTTATTTAGCAATAAAGTAACACTATTGATACATACACTAACTTGTATATATCTCAATAATTTTATATCAAGCAAGCTGGTCACTCAAAGCCACACACTTTATGATTTATTTCACAGGACATACTCTAAATGACAAATTACTGCTTGACAGGAAATAAGAAAGGTACAGGGAAGAGAAGCACATAGAACTATAAAAAGGTAGCATCAAGAAGAGTTCTGTGATAATGGAATAGCTTTGGGTCTTGGTTGTTGTGGGATTTTGATCTATTTAGCCAATGATTTTTTGGGATTGTGAACCTTAGTGTATGATTTTTTCTGTTTAAAATCTGAGGGGAGGTGATCAGAGTGGAGCAGGAAGGTTGATATTTGTGCATCTTCAAGGCCACTGGATCAGTGGTGGTGTCTAACCTGTTCTGTGTCAGTGAGTATTTACCTCTATTTTATTCCTAAATAAATTCTTAAGATCTTTTGCCAGACTCTGGAGGATTCACGCTATTCTTGGTAGTTTCACAAATCTGTGTATAGTTTATGATCACAGAGGCCACATGTCATGGAATATTCCCCTTTGTATGCTATGAATATATTTTACTGCCATTGGCTATTAAAGAAGCTGCTTTGGCCTACAGCAGGGCAAAATATGGTCAGGTTATAAGAGATACAGGGAAAAAGAAGGTGGAGACAGGGAGATGCTATGTAACTGCTGAAGGAGACAAACACTGGAATTTACCGGTAGGTCACAGTCCCATGCAATATACAGATTAATAGAAATAGCTTAATTTAAACTGTAAGAGTTAGTTAATAAGAAGCCTGAAATAATAGGCCAGATACTGCTATAATTAATATAGTTTCTGTGTGATTATTCAGGCTTAAGCAGCTGGGAAACAAATGTGCAGTCTCTGACTACAAGGGGCCCACTGTCTGAGGCATGGATCCACACAAGACTTAAAAATGCTTTTAAAAAAGGGCTTCTAAACCTATAAAATTGGGAATCAATTGCAGCTTCTTGGTAGCCACGTGTTGTTTGTTTTGTTTTGTTTTTTGTTTATTTGGTTTTTGTTGTTGTTGTTTTCAGATAGGATTTATTTGCTGATGGCCGGCAGAGGTGTGTTTCCTTTAAGAGAAGGCTTCTTGATTCAGCATTAGCAGAAAAAACTGCAGGGCTTCTTTGAAAGACAGCTTCCTAGTTCACGCTGGTGTAGTACAGAGCACTTAAACGGGGTCTGTGAGAAACATGTTACAAATCGCTTAATGGCAACATAGAACCACACTGCATTCCTGGAGCTAAGGCAGGGAATATGACTTGAAAAGGCAGTGAACATGCCTCCATCATGTTGGACTTAGCTGAACAAACAAATAGGGCTGCAGAGTTGGTCCTACCATGCCCACTTAGCATAAAAAAAAAACACTCCTGGTTAGAAAATGATTACAGATGCTCAATAAAGACAGATTCAGATGAAAAATACCTCGGAATTGGGCACAGTTGAATAAATGTACATAGGCTTGGGAGAGAGAAGAAAAAGAATATAGACAGTTATAAAAAGAAATAGTTTTACAAATAAAATAAAATGAGACAGTAAAAGTAATATAACAGTCGTAGATTAAAAAATTAAAATTTCAGGTTTGTAAACTATGCTTTTCAAAAGCACTTGTCAGTTATTTTATGCTTGTATAATTTATGCCTGTTGGAGGTAGGATGAATTTTTAACATAATTTTGAAATGCCAAGCTGTTTTACTTTTGATAGTATTCTATGCAATGCACTGCAATCAGATCTCCTCACTGCCTTCTCTCCTCCTTTCCATTTTCATGTTCCTCACTTTTCTTTTCCAGGCACCAATCAGAAGAGAGGCAGTGTGAACATGGCTTCAACATATTTCAGGAACAAAGCCATCATCAATGATCATATCCAATTGTAAACCCTGCATGCTCCACTTCAAAACTGCTTAGAAACAAGTGCCCTTTGTGGAAAAGTCTGCAAGATACTATGGGCCTGTAGACTGAAGATAGATGCCCCAGTGTTACAAGAGAACTTAGGGTGACTGTCCAGACAGCGAGGTGTCTCTGTCAATTCTAGAGTTGTGGAAGTTGTTTACAATGCACTTCCTGTTTACTTTGGTAATAATATATCCTTCTGGGGTCTTTGGTGGAGTTGAAGACAGATAATTATATTTATAGTTTTTCTCAGTTGTGACAAAATATAAAATAGGAGTAAAACTTTAGACTTACAAAGGTAGGGTAGATGATGGAGTACTTTCCTTAATTTGACAAATAGTAAATGGACTAAATATTGTAATTATAATTCTTGCTTGATAACTGTTTTATATATATATATATATATATAATGTTACTACGTTAAAGTTAAAATCTTTCTTTTTATTTAGACAGGAAAGGAGAGATGATGTGGGATTATCCTCTGTATGATATGAATATGTCTACTGCCATTACCTAATAAAGAAACTGTCTTGACCTATGGCATGGCAGAACACAGCCAGGCTGGAAGGAATTTTGAGAGAAAGAAGGTAAAGTCAGGAAGATGCCATATAGATGCCTAAGGTAACAGATACTGAAATCTTACTGGTAGGCATTACATAGATTAAAAGCAATGGGCTAATTTAAGACATAATAATTAGTTAATAAAAAGCCTGAGCTAATGGGCCAAACAGTGTTGGAATTAATATAGTTTCTGTGCAATTATTCGGGTTTGGGTGGCCAGGAAACAAATATGCAGTCTGACTACAGCCAGATGCTGCAGTGTACCAAAATCAGCCTCCTGAATCAGATATTATATAGTCATTCTAACTTTGGCCCATATAAAAACTGAATAAGACCTTTACTATCTTTGCAACTCTCTGTGACTATCTCATTATTTTTATATAAAATGCTTTAAATATTAGAAAAATTCAGAGAATATCCAGAACTAAACAACAAATTATTAACATAAAACAGGACATTTCTGTTCATTTCTAGACACTGGAACTGATCTAATGGGAGCTCACCAAGGCCAGCTGGACTGGGAATGATGGAGCATGTGATCAAACTGGATCCTCTGAAAGTGGCTGTCAATGAAGGCTGATTGAAAAGCCAAGGACAGTGGCACTGGGTTTTGATTCTACTGTGTTGACTGGCTTTGTGGGAGCCTGGTTTGTTTTGATGCTCACCTTCCTAGACCTGGATGGAGGGGGGAGGACCTTGGACTTCCCATGGGTCAGGGAACCATGACTGCTCTTAGGACTGGAGAGGGAGGTGGGGGGGAGGGAAAAGGGAGGTACGGAGGAGGTGAAAATTTTTAATAAATAAATAACTTTTAAAAAATCGTGTTAATAGCAAAGGTTTAAAAAAAAGATTCTTCTATTGTAGCTACCAAGGTTTTTTCCCTTCTCCTGGCGATTCGCAGGGCTGTGTGACCTCTGGCTCCCTGGAGACTCTGCACTAGCTCTGGCTTGAGGGGATAACTTAGCAAGAACCTGGTTCTCTTTGTTATGGTGATTCCACTTGTATTCAAGGTTTTAGCAGTGGGGCCATAGCCTGCCTCCCCCAACTGATCCTGCCCGAGGCGCCGGGAAGCTTTAATCTTCTCCTCCTGCCTCTGGATGGGAGGAGGCCTTGCATTTTCGATCCCTCTAGCCCACTGGTTTATATACCCGACTTGAGTTTAATAAAGTTGCCATTTACTCTGGTAAATGAGCAAAGGTCTCTTTTGTGTGTGTCTCTTTTTTAACCCTCAGGACAATCGTCCATTCTCATGGGCCCAAGTTCGGGGAAAGTGCGCAGTCTGAATCGGGTGTGGGTATCCACTGGAAAGTGCAGACTCTTACAGATGGCGTCCCTCGGGTCGGCTTTGAAGAAGAATTGAAGAGTCGTGTCCTGCCATCAGTGGATCCACCACGAGAACCCCAAAAATAGGTGAGGGTCCCCCCATGATCCGGAATCTGGCCAGTTTTGTAATGTGCAATTGTGCACGTGTGATAAGGGGGTGAATAGGTTGAACAATTTGATTTTTAGGAAAATGGGTGCTAATATGTCCACTCCGGAGCTAGAAGGGCAGTTAGCAGATCAGCTACTGCAGCTTGTGGAAAAGCTAGGCACCAGGATCAAAGGTGACACAGAACAAGGGACCATCAAGGTAATTTCAGAGCTCAGTCCTTGGTTCTCTCTAACTGGGAACCTTAATATCGAGGACTGGGAACAAGTTAGGGCTGATCTACGTGTTGCACAGAGAGAACGGGGAACTAAAGCCGTCTCCCTAGCGATCTATTCGCTATGGCGTCTTATCAGAGATGCCCTCCTTAGTGAAGATGTCTTAGTGAAGGAACAGTTAGAGGTTTTAAACAAAACCCTTGAGGAAATTCAGAAAGTAGAATCTGTGAGCTCTATCAGGAGTTTTGAGGATCAAGAAGTCAAAAGCATTGATAATTTAGATGAAGAAGAGGAAATATTAGAAGGCGAAATCGCACTTCTAACCAAACAGCTAGAGAAGGAGGAAGGTGGGGCTGCTAGCAGAGATGCCCCCATTAGGCCTCCTCCACAAAGAGCATTTTCTGCTACCCTAAACTGTTGTGCAACAGCTTTCGCCCCTGTTAATCTGGAGGCGGGAGCTCAAGAGTTTTCAAACAGGCCTGATAATCTCGGTAGAAATAGGTCGGTCTATCCTACTGAAGGAACTCTTGGCCAGCAAGTACTTAGTATCAGACAGCCTGACTCTCTGACCTTTAAAATGGTCAAGCAATTAAAGGAGGCGGTCGTTGCCTATGGTGCTCGCGCTTCCTTCACTGTAACATTGCTGGAGTCCTTCCTTAAGTTCAACTTTACGCCCAGCGATTGGATACAACTTTGCAAAGCCTGTCTCTCTGGGGGTGAATTTTTACTGTGGAGAGGTGATTTGCGAAGGATTTGCAAGGAATCCGGGGGGCTTAATGCCTCCACCAGTTTCTCCCAGCATGACCTTGATGTGTTACTTACAGGGGGTCAATATTCTGATCTCACAGTGCAAACCACTTACGATCCCGCAGTTTGCGCTCTAGTAGCTGCTGCGGCGATAAAGGCCTGGGCATCTCTACCAGTTGAAGGAACAGGAGAACTAATCTCAAAAATTGTACAGGGACCTACAGAGTCTTATTCTGCATTTATAAACCACCTCTTAGAGGTGGGCAGCCGTACTCTTGGGGATATTGATTCTTACTTGCCAGCAGTAAAGCTATTAGTCTATGAAAATGCTAACAGGTCTTGCCAGGAAGTTTTGCGCCTGCATAGAAACAAGGACCTGGATGATTTTATTCATCTGTGCAGAGGCGTAGTGCCTCCTACTGTGGTGGGACAGGTGGTCACTTCTGCCCCTAGGGAGGTTGCAGCCCAAACTGGATCAAAAAATTGTTTTCAGTGTGGGAAGCCTGGGCATATTAGAAAAGACTGCCCAGCCATTAAAGGAGTGGTTGGTCCTTCCAGGAGCAGCCCTGGTGTTTGCCCCAGATGCCAGAAAGGAACGCACTGGGCTAGCAACTGCTGGTCTAACACCATCAGTCAGGGCATTCCCCTACCTGTGTCAAAAAACGGGAGAAGGGGCCGGCCTCGGGCCCTGAAAACTCAAGCGTACGGGGCTATGAGCGAGCCAAATGCTCAGATCAGATTCGTCCCTCAAAGAAGAGCCTCACTGTCTGCGAACTTGCTCGAAGTACCCCAGGAGGTGCAGGATTAGCTCTCTGCGCCTCTGCCCGGGCAGTATTAACACCGCAGACGGGGGCACAAGCATTAGGGACTGAGGTGTTTGGACCCATTCCGGAGAACTCTGTAGGGTTAGTACTGGGCCGAAGCAGTTCTGTGCTTAAAGGAATTAAAGTTTACCCAGTAATTATAGACAACAATCATTCGGGAGAGATTAAAGTTATGGTGGAAGCCACCGTGGGGGTTCTTGTCATCCCCCGCAGGGAGAGGATAGCCCAACTGGTTCTCCTGCACAGTTTTCACTCTGCTAATCCCTTCAATAAACAAGTACGAGGAGGAGGCATAGGGCTTGACCCCGGCAAATCCCCTGGGGCATTCTGGGTTGCTAGCCTAAAGGACCGCCCTGCTCTCACTTTAACCATCCCTGGGAAGAAATTCACGGGTCTCCCTGACACTGGGGCTGACTTGTCCGTGGTTGCTAAGAAACATTGGCCCGCTTCCTGGCCCCTTCAGCTGGCCTGCACTGCATTACAGGGGGTCGGTGTAGCCAGCTCCCCGGAGCGCAGCACACAATACCTTGATTGGGAGGACAAAGAGGGCCACGCTGGCGTTTTTAAACCTTATGTTCTAGAACATCTTCCTCTTAACCTGTGGGGAAGAGATGTGTTGCAGGCCATGGGAGCGGTGCTGACCACGGAACCCGTGTGGCGCATGCTAGCTAATCAGGGCTTTGTCCCCGGCCGAGGTCTGGGGAAAAATCTCCAGGGAGACGTTCATACCTTAGCCGACAAGAACTTGATCCAGCAATTGCCTGGACAGCGTGCAGGGCTAGGAAATTTTTCTTAGGGGCCATTGCAGAGCAGCCAGATTATATACCTATTAAATGGAAAACTGAAAAACCTGTGTGGATTGAGCAATGGCCCCTTAGTAAGGAGAAACTACTGGCTGCTCAAACCTTGGTCCAGGAACAGCTGGAGGCAGGGCGTATAGTGCCCTCCACCTCCCCCTGGAATACACCTATTTTTGTGGTTAAAAAGAAATCAGGTAAATAGAGATTGTTGCAGGATCTCAGAGCTGTAAATGATTGCATGGAAATAATGGGTAGCACCCAACCAGGTTTGCCACAGCCGGTGGGTATCCCTGCAGGATACCATCTGTTAGTTATTGACCTGAAGGATTGTTTTTTCACCATTCTCCTGCATCCTAAAGACTCTGATAAATTTGCTTTCAGTGTGCCTTCCACAAATCTCGTAGAGCCTTTCAAACACTACCAGTGGAAAACCTTGCCACAGGGAATGTCATGCAGTTCAGTCATTTGTCAGGTGTTGGTGGCAAGGGTTATTGCCCCTATCAGACAGAAATATCCTCAATTGTATATAATCCAGTACGTTGATGACATACTTCTCGCTGGACAGGAGCCAAAAGTAGTTCTTGAGGCCTTTGCTGACCTCCAGGAGTGTCTAGCACATGCTGGGTTGGTGATTGCTGCTGATAAGGTACAACAGCAGTTCCCATATCAATATTTAGGGCATCAGTTGTTGCAAGCAGGAGTAAAACCTCAAAAGGTCACTCTCCGACTAGACAAGTTACAAACTTTAAATGATTTCCAAAAGCTACTTGGGGACCTCAATTGGATCCGGCCTTGTTTGGGTATTCCTACTGGAACCCTAAAACCACTTTTTGACATCCTGCAGGGAAACTCTGACCCAACTTCCCCTCGAGAGTTAACTCCCCAGGCAAGACAGTGTATCTCACTGATTGAAGAAAGGCTTGCCTCTGCTCATGTCCAGTATATAGACTATAATCAACCTCTGTTCTTAATAATTTTTCCTTCCCAGCATAGTCCTACTGGAGTGTTTTGGCAAACAGGGCCAATCCTATGGGTGCATGAACACGTGTCACCTGCAAAAATTGTTATATCTTATCCATCAGCCGTGCTGCGCGTTATTCAGAAAGGATATAAGTTGTGTCTTCAAACCTTTGGTATGTTACCTGATAAAGTTATTACACCGTATACCCAGTCAGAAATAACTTGACTGCAGAATTTTGCTGAGGATTGGACCTTATTTCTATGCACCAATCCCTATAAGTTTGATAATCATTACCCCTCTAATAAGCTAGTCACCTTCTTCAAGAATCATCCGGTGTGTTTCCCTAAAGTTGTTTCCTTAAAGCCTTTGGCTGGGGCTAGGAATGTATTTACTGACGGCTCCTCCACCGGAAGAGCTGTGGTGTTCTCCCCGCCTGATGTTTGCACCCGAGCCGTTGATACTAACTCTGCTCAAATAACTGAATTAATCGCAGTACAACTGGCCTTGGAAAAATATGCTGACATTCCATTTAACTTCTGTACTGACAGTCAGTATATTAGCAAAATTCTTGCACTTATAGAAACTGCAGCTTATATTGCTTCTGTGTCTCGAGTCCAGATTCAGCTTCTGGCTATTCAGGCATTGCTTTGGGCCAGGTCTGTTCCCATATATGTGGGACATTTGAGGGCACATAGCGATCTTCCTGGCCCCCTGAGTGAAGGCAATGCCTTGGCTGATGAACTCACTCGCCAGGTTTATACAGTTAGTCAAGAATCTTATGAAGCTGCTAAGAAAGCTCATAATCGCTTTCATCTCAAAGCTGGGTCTTTGAGATTTCATTATAAAATATCCCGGGAGCAAGCCACTGATATTGTTGAGAAGTGCCCTTCATGTGTAGAACTTTTAACTGTTCCCCATTTGGGAATTAACCCACATGGGCTGGCTCCCAACCATTTATGACAGATGGATGTTACCCACGTTCCTTCTTTTGGACGTTTGCAGTATGTTCACGTAACTGTGGACACGTATTAACACCTTATCTTTGCCTCAGCTCATACAGGAGAAAAATTACGGGATGTTAAAAGCCACTGCCTGCAGGCTTTTGCCTACATAGGGGTCCCTAAATCTCTCAAAACGGACAACGGACCAGCCTATACCAGTGCTGGTTTTGCTAAGTTCTGCCAGGAGTTTCATATTTCTCACAAAACTGGTATACCCCATAACCCCCAGGGGCAGGCGGTCGTAGAGAGGACCCACTGCACACTTAAGGCTTATCTGCACAAAACCTAAAGGGGGGATTACAGTTCTACCCCCAGAGAGCATCTATCATTCATTTTATACATTTTAAACTTTCTGACTGTGGATGCTGACTCCCGTATGGTGGCTGAGAATCATTGGCAGCCTACCTCCCCCAGGAAGCCCTTAGTGAAGTGGAAAAATCTGGCAAACG